ATGTAGGCCTCAAGTAAAAAAGTGCAATGGTATATTCTGCACAAAAGAAAGTGCATTCAATGTAGTGAGTCAAGCATCAAGCAGGTAAGTAGAAGTTCATGGGAGTGGGGATGAAGTCATGATAATGAAAGGGAGGAAGATGCAGGAAGAGCATTTGTGGAAGCACAGGAAAACCATCAGGAAGTATGGCATGACATTAACAAGTGATACGATTTCCTGGGAAATCGTTTTGATAAAATCAGAGGATATGAAAAATTTACAACTTGCTTCGCTGATAATTTTAATCTCTCAACAAACTGAAGAAATAGTGAGAAATGAGATTTACTGTCAGTTTAATTTTAACAAATATAGGAAGAGTGCTTGGTCACTTAGAAATATCAGAAACTTTGGGAGAAAGCCAAGTGCTCATAAAATCCAGCCTCTCCATAATCCTGTCAGAGATGTTTTAGAGAGGATTTCTTGGAGGAAATGTTCCACTAAATAATCTTTAAGTCCCTCCTGAAATATTAGAGACTGCCTGTAACATTCTTCAGCCACACTGAAGAACTACAGAAGAGGCCAGCCTGAACACTGAGGGAAGAACAGATTCCTATACCTCTGTGGCTAGGTTGAAAAGAAAGTGCCTATCAGGTTCAGTAAAAAGAGATGGCACTTTCTACAAATATGTTGTAGAACTACAAGAGCCAAATAAGGTAGTACTGGAGCCAAAAAAAAAAAAGATCAATAGTACAGATGACATGTTTCAGAAAGAAGCAAAAAATGTTCAAGAACGTAATTTCTCATAAGAGAAGGCAAAGCCAATGAAGGTAGGGAAAATCAAAAATACATTTCAAGTTTTAAAGTAGGCAAACCATCTGTATTCATAAATGTAATTAAAGAACACATTTAAGGACAAAAATATTTGAAAAGAAATAACACTACAGAGGCAAAAAAAAAACAGACCAGATAAATATTTTTTTGGTAATAAGAAATTAAGGATTACAATGTATAACACATTACCAAATACATGTCCTTTCAAAATAAATTACCTAGAATTCTTTCTGATGAATGAAGACAGGATGAGAAAAAAAAATCTACTTACCAATAGGAAATATGAAGAGGAAATAAAATGGAAGCAAGAAAGGAATGAAGTATATTAATCTGTCACTGCAACATTAAGCCAGAGAAAAGCAACTGAAAAGGAGAAAATAATGATGTGGGCTCAGGGTTTGAGAGATTTTTGTCCATGGTCACTTGGCCCTATCACTTTGGGCCTGTGACAAGGGAACAGATCAGGCTGGGAGCACATGTAGAACACAGCTATTTATCTAGAGGCAGTAAGGAAGTAAAGAGAGAGGAAGAGGCTGGGCCAGGGCCTCCATACCCTTTAAGGGCTAACTTCAATGATCTAACTTCCTCTGCTAGGCCCCACCTCCTAAGGTCTACTATTTCCAATAGTGCCACCACACACTGAACCAAATTTAGCCAGGAGGTCTCAAATCATAAAAGAATAAAAGATCTTATTCAAGACAAAGTAATACAAGGTCATCTTGGACTATCAAGTTTAGAACTATTAAGTACATTTGGTTTGGGGGGAAATTAATTGCCTTGTATATAGAAAGAAAAATTTTAACTGTTTCTACTTTTGATCTGATAGTTCTCCATGTACGAATATATACAAAGGAAAAAATCCCAAGTGCTAAAAGTCTTATGCTTAAACATTTTCACAGTGATATTATTTATTTGGAAAAAGAAAGAGCTACCATTTAGTGAATGTTTACATCAGAGATGTGGGTTTTGTGAATTTTTTTGTAAGTTATCCCATTTGAGTATCACATCAGTTCCATAAAAAATATAATCACTATGTCAAAGAAAAGGTAAAATGCTTTTATATGCTGAGAGAAATGGAGTTCTCTAAGAAACATGATATATACACATATTTTTACTCATCCATTCAATAGAATGATAATGTACTGTTTGTAAAGAAATGGAAAATCCTAGAAAAAATTATGTTAAGTGAAGTTAAGTCAGGCCCAGAGAGGATACCGGTTTTCCCTTATATATAAAAGCTAGATTCAGTGTATAAACTTATAAGCAAATACGTTGGGTGGTATGCCAGTGTATACAAATTATTATCTGAAATAGAGTCAATTCAAGGAAAAGCAAAGTCAAAGTTCAGCAAAATAGAACACAAGATAGAATGGGGTGAGGTAGGGTCAAGAGAAAGGGGTAGACAAAGAAGGAGAAGAGAGAGAGAATGTAGTCAAGAATACAAGAAGACTGTAGGAGGGGTGGTTAGGGAAAGGAGTAACATTGAGCAAGATGCACAATATTCATAAACTGCTTTGTTAACTGACAACTCCTTTGGACAACTACTTAAATGATTATGGAAAATTAAGAAAGAGTAAAAATAGAGAAACTATAAATAAAAACATTCAGAATAGCTAAATAAACTGAATAATTTATCTGATGAATCATTTTAAATTTAAATACAAAAGTACAAATAGAAAAAGTTTAAGATAAGATGTTAATAAAAATGCAAAATAAAACATTTTTATTCATTATGATAGAAACATTTGTATGGAAAGAAAGAGTGCAAGAAAGTACATAAACACTAACCAAACACAACAAAACTGGACTAGCAGCCAGTTCAAACAGCATTTCTGGTTAAGTAGCCCTGAGAACAAAGCAAAGAGAAGTTTTGTTGTCAGTCAGGGACAAGGAGGAAGGGAGACCCAGAGAGACTCCAAAAAGCTCAAAAAAACAGTGTGGGTAATACAGAAGAGAGAAAATCTAATTCAGGGCAGGTACGGTAAATCTTCGATAACGAGGAGGGCTGTAATTCTTTTCATGGTAAGTTTCTGGGAAAATCATAAATTGGCCACAGTTAAAATGTCAGAAGACTCAAAATCATAAGAAAAATAATGAATTATTGAGGGTTTGGCTTACTGTAGAAGTCATACTTTACTTTCTGAGAGAAACGAGAGGTGAGACAAGAGTAATGTAATTTCTGATGTCTGAATATTTCAATTAGGTTTCTGATAAAAGTTGGAAGAATGCAAGTCTTTACTTTTGAGTATCAGAAGAAAATACCTATCCAAGATATGCTTTTGAGAATAGGGCCTATGTAATAACCACCTGTGTAACAGATAGAAAATGTCATTTATTAACATGTCCCCACAGACTAATCTTCAATTGTATACCTACTACAGCATTTTGAAAAATTGTGTACATATCCTAAGTATATGTTTTATAATTCAAACTTTATCTTTTGTTCTGTCCCTCATGTTCCCATCTCCTAGCTACCCTCATATCTTCTTGTCTTATTAAAATATTAAACAAATAAGCTAGGTCCATGAGTGGTATAATAGGAGGATCAAGATCCAAGACCCACCATGGAACAAAGCAAAAATCTTAGCTGAACACAAAAGAAAAAAGAACAGTGAGAGAATGCAGCTCAAGTAGTAGAGCACCTACATAGCTGACAAGCATTAAGCCCTGAATTTAAAATGTATATGTGTGTATGTATATGTATTTACATACACATAATGTATGCATGCACATAAATGTAATTTAATACAGCTAATTTAGACTTTTGGTGGGGTTTGAACTCAGGACCTTTTTGTTGATAGGCAAGTTTTCTACTTCTGAGCCATGCTACTAGCCCTAGAACTTCTTATCTGTCACTAATTATACTTGAACAGCATATGAACACACACACACACACACACACACACACACACACACGGGAGAAAGGAAGCAAAGGAAAGAAAGCATCAAGTACATAGGCTTATGGACAGAACTTAAGAGCATCCCCAAAACAACTGGCCTAGTACATACTATATATCTCATATAACATATTTTCCCAGGGCTATTGCAACAAGACTTTGATATACTTCACTGTCACTTCTCTACTGCAAGTCCTGGGAAAGCAAGGACCATTTCTGCTTGTTTACCAATTAAGCTTTGCTTTGGGTACCAACATGTAGATGTGATTGATCTCTTCAGACATAACCTGTCCCTCAGAACCCCAGTGATCAATCTGGAAATGACCACATAACTAGTCTGTGCTACTACCTGATCTACATTATTTTTTATTCTTATTATTAGGCCCTTTTCCAGTTTAGATATACATGCTTCTCGAGGACTTATAAATGTATATATTTTACTTTCCAAATCACTTTTTACAACCCATATGTAAACTCTTCAGTGAACACATGTTGAATGAAATGACCAGATCTTTAAACAACCTTTAATGTGGTGATATTTTCAAACATGTTATTTATTTATTTATTTATTTTTGGGTCCGGTTGTGGGCCTGGGTGCTGTCCCTCAGCTCTTCAGCTCAAGGCTAGAGCTCTACCACTTGAGCCACAGCGCCACTTCCGGCTTTTTTCATTTTGCTTATGTGGTGCTGAGGAATCAAACCCAGGGCCTCAGGCATGCAAGGCAAGCACTCTACCACTGAGCCACCTTCCCAACCCAAACATGTTATTTATTGATTGCATTGTATTACTATTCCAAAGAGTGGTGGACAGAAAATGTAGCGCTTCATGTCAATTGAGCTTTGTTTCTAGCTGTCACCTCAGTGCTGGACAAGTTACTTCAAATGTGGTTTTCTGTTTTTCTCCTTGAAATAAGGGAACATTAGCAAGAAACAATGACAAAATCATATATTTATCTATCTCAAACAAAAACAGAAATCAAATGGGGGAATGTTCAAGAATGAGTTCTACAAATGGAAGGTGCTAGCCACTCTTTACCAATATGGAAATGAACTGGTATCACAAGACTACGGAGGAGAGATGTTGTAGATTGCAGTAACCACCTCTTGACAATGGCTGACAGGCAGGAGAGCAAGGTGATAAGAACAAGAATCCTCAGAGCAGTCTGCTAAACATGCCCCAATCATAAATCAAGGAACATGTTCAACACCCACTGCTCAGAAAGATTACCAGGCACCTGTCACCCTCACCCTTTGGCCCTGCCACAAGTCTCTTTGAAACCAAGAGGAAGCTTACCAGACACAAGCTGCTGTCCAGGCAACCCCACGGGAACCATGCCCAAGTTGTTCATGGCTGTGGCCCAGGCTGTGGGATCTGTCACGGACATGTTGAGCTGGGTTGTGTCTATTGCTAGGCTCCCCAAACCATCAGCTGCTGTGGAGAAAGCGAACTTTGTCTTAGGGTCAATAGGCAAAAAGCTTTAAAGAAAATCTCATTTTTAGAGATACAAGGCTTCATTTTGCACATTCCCAAACGATTAAAAAGAATAAAGCAATACCATCTATAGCACTTTTTTTCCCTCCAGACATAAACATAAAGATTTTTCAAACACTTTCTGGGAGTTAACTTTATGACATGTATTGTATTATAATCAGTATTCCATTTAGGAGATATTCCTTAAAAAAAAGAAATAAGGAAACGCTTCCTTCTGTGGGTGAAATATCATTATTTCAGTGGTAAGATTGTGGGGCAAAGCAGCAGCACTGTCCTAGTAATAAGCAAGTCACCTGGCTAGTAGACTAAGGATAAATAAATGCATCTGTCTCCAGGTGTGATTCTGGATCAGGTGTGTCTTCTAATCTATCTACTATGAAAACTGATCAAAATACCCTGTACTCATAAAATGATATGTTGAATTACAATCCTTTTATACAACTATTTACACATAATAAAAATAATATAGAAAAGGAAAACAGTTGCCAACCCTCAGTACTGTCTATAATGTCATATCTTCCTTCCTTTGACAGCATTTTACTAAAGAAAAGTACCTTTTCCAATCCATTTCTTGTAGGCAATGGCTTTCATAAAATAAATACAAATTTAAAACAAGTGGTGCGGAGCTATTAAAAAAATAGTAGAATATGTTAGATTTGAGTTAATGCTATATGGTTTTCATTAACTTCATGGCCTGGATGGTTTTCAGGGCCCCAGCCTCCAGTCCAATGTCTACTTTCATGGCTAAGCAAGCTTTCCCAACCAAAAGGCAAAAAGCCTTCTTCACGTGCTATGCTGTCCAGCATCAGTTACCTGCAGCCATCATCTGAGGAAGTTCCTGGGAGCACTGGGTGATACTCTCAACTCGTCCTGCATCTACCATTGAATTACAAGCATACTGGGAGGCAGGACCGTTTTGATGGCTGAATGCAGGGTCCCTTCTGAGATCATCAGATTCTGCAAAAGGGGAAGGAGAGTAGTGAGAAACCTAATAGTTTCAGACAGAACTTCACAGACCAAACTCTACGCAAACACAAACAACACAGAGCAACTTCCAGCAGTTGCAGGTAGAAATAAAGCTAGTTCCTGCCCGTCCTTCAGCAGTTGTCTTGTGGTTCAGTCAATTGCTTGGAACACCATGGGTCAACCTGTTCGTCCTCTCACCTAGCATCCGGCTGGCTGATAAACAGAACCATCTGTAAGTGCATACAAGCCCTGCCTCCTGAAGAAGGTCCATAGCCAGAGCTTATCAGCCCTGACACAGGTTTTTCCATACACTGTACATCAATAGAGAAGGCAGCCTAGGACCGAGGTGATTTTTCTGTAAGTTAAAAAATTAATTGATGTTGGTATTTTGGATGACTGTTGTCTGTGAAATGTATTCAGAGAGGAAAAATAGGAGGAAGAGGAAGATCCCTTTTATTGTGAGGCTGGCAAAGGTGGGAACTTGGAAGAAGAACACACTGTGTGTTAAAAGAAATCTAGAAGGCTGAGGTAGAAAAATCATTTGTCTTTTTAGTTGTATGGAATGCTAACTTTAGCCAATAGTTGGCTGACTTTTACTTAGAATCATAAAGCCTTCTTAAGCACACATACACATACATTCATAATCCATAGGTTCATGTTTTTACTATAGATTAAAGCCTTTTTAAATATGTAAATAACAATAAAATCCCTAGTACAGTTATAAAAGGCCTCTTTATATTGCACTGTAAAATAGTGTGCCTTCTCTCCACTCTTAAAAATGCAAACCCAGAACATTTATGTGTTCTGGGGTTTTTTTGTTGTTGGTTTTTTTGGGTTTTTTTTGGTCTGTTGTGGGACTTGAACTCAGGGCCTGGGTACTGTCCTTGGGCCTCTTTTTTACTTAAGACTAATGCTCTACCACTTGAGCTCCAGTGCCACTTCTGGTTTTTGAGTGATTAATTGAAGATAAGAGTCTCCTGCCCCGTCTGGCTTTGAACCATGATCCTCAGATCTCAGCCTCCTGAGCAGCTAGGATTATGGGTGTGAGCCACTGGCACCTGGAATGTGTTCCGATTTTTAAATGAACCTGCACTAGTTTACCATCTAGACAAGAGATCTGAAAAGTTTGTCCTTAAGGAGCGCTGATGTAAAGATATAAGGCTGAATTTAAACACTTGTCTTTATTTAAGTAGAAATATTTTTTTCAGAGCCCTGATGCTGCTAATGACATTTTTAGAATTAAATGTTTGTTCCTCAAGTGTTCCTTATATGAAGTTTGGCAGTATTAGTGTATGTTCTTGCATTTCTTTGATATTTAGATTGAAGAATAACAATCCCTTAAACACTGAAATGCTTTTGGCCAGTGGAGCAGAAGTTCCATTCAAATGGAAGCCTAGGTCTCAGGGATAGGTGAATAAGGAGCACAGGATTTCCATGGATTCAGCAGTTCACTGTCCTCCAACAAGAAGAAGGGTAACACAGTGATTTATTTTTCCCCATCATCTATCATCCAGCAGCGTGAATAAGTCCAATTTTGGAAGTAAACTGTCCTCAGAACACATACTTCACACCTGGCCGAGAAACTCTACTATCCAAATGAACTCAGTATGTGCTTATGTATTATGCTTCAATTACCTCAAGCAAGAAGAGAATCAGACAGAGATTCTTACCATAGAAAATAAATTCAATAGCATAAGAAAAACAGAGCTAACCTAAATGGCTGCCCTGTAGCTGTCCATTTACCAGCACTCTTTCTATGATTAAACCTCAAAGCACTTTTCTCTCTCCACTCCAACCATTGCAGAGCACCAAGGCATAGCCAGGCTAGCATGTGCTCATTCTTCTCTTAAATGGCCCCGAAGTAGAGCTGTCTTGGATCATTGCAAGGTCACTATTTGTCTTACTTATCTTCCAAATGAAGTGTAGTTGGCTGGCTTCCTTCTAGCTCAGATCTTTCCAAATGTGCATCAATCACATCTTTTTCCTTTCTTTCTTTTTTTCTGTCTAATGAGTTTGCAGATCTGGAACATTATGTCACAGAACATCCCTTAACTTTGTAGGCTTTATGACTTGTGCCTCTCCGGTCACATTTCACCTTGAATTTTTGCCACAGTATTTTAGGATGGTATTCACTTTCCTTGACTCTGTAACTGTCTGTTCCAGTGGTACTTATCAGTGGATTACAGTCATGCTACACAGGGACATCAAGTGGTTTGGAAACCATAGCTCCTTCCTATACTTTTCTTGGCCACCTTAACAAACTGCTCCTATTTCATTGGAAAAAAAAAAACCTTGTTCCATTAGGAAAATGTGGTTTGTAAACCTTGATTTATCCCCTAATTGAACTCTGTGACATGCAATTTATTACATCCCTCCCAATCTCCAAAGTAATGGTTTTAATGACATACAACTTCATATGGCCAGCAAGTACCTAGCATAGGGTCTCTAAGATGAACTCAGTCACATCCTAAGCATTTCTGATAGTCTCAAGACTGCCACAACATTGTTTACAAAATGCAAATTAATTTTATCACAAGACTTGGAGGAAAGTTGAGATTTATAATGAATTACTTCCAGGTAATTTATGAATAGCTGCAAGAACTATTTTTGTACTCAACTAACATCTATTGTTCCTATTGAATATCTGCCTCTTGAAATGATTCAAGACTACAATGCCTAATTTATCATTCAAATCAATTTATCTGCCTTAGTTTTCTTATATCTAAACTATAGAAAAGATTTTCGTAATGATGTTTATTTACACACAGAGATGTGGGGAGTTAAAATTATGGCTAATAAAGCACTTCAAATTTGGTAGGCGATAATTATTATTATTTTATTTGCAAGTGTAGTGTTTCCATTAAGGTACCCTGGGATCTTTGTGTTCTAGTGGATAATTATGTAATTAATTATAAAACAGTGAATAACACTTGATATTTCTAAAAGGAAGTGCTGCCCTAGTTTTCTGAGCCACACCTAAATTGGAGCAGGATATTTTTCCTTACAATTCCTTTAAAAATAATGTCACTTAAAAGATACATGATTTTTTTCCCCTCTAGATTTTTTTCCTTCCTATTCAAGTACAAAAACCTGTCTAATTGAGATTTGAGGCTCATGGTTCAAAGCCAGCCTGGGCAGGAAATCTGTGAGACTCTTATCTCCACTAAACTACTCAGAAAAAGCCAGAAGTGGCTCTGTGGCTCAAGTGGTAGAGCATTTGCCTTGAGCACAAAGAGGCTCAGGGATAGTGCCCAGGCCCTGAGTTCAAGTCTCAGGATCAACAAAAACGAAAACAACTTAAGAGATTTATGATCAATTATGAAATTGGAAGCTTGTAATTTCAGGTTTTACTGAGATGTTATTATCACAAAACAATCAGATATGTGAAATGTCAAGTACAAAAGTAGCTCTGTCCAGAGTTTAGTGAACATCATTGGGTTTGTTTATTTTTTGTTTCATTGGCTATGGGGTTTGAATCCAGGATCTAGGCACTGTCCCTGACCTCTTTTACTTAAGGCTAGAGCTTTTCCACTTTGAGCCACAGCTCTACTTCTGGTTTTTGGAGATAAGAGTCTCACAGGAACTTTTCAGCCCAGACTGACTTTGAATCACGATCCTCAGATCTCAGCCTCCTGAATAGCTAGGACTACAGAAATGAGTGACAAGCATGGACTTAACCTGTTCTTTTTAAATTTAAGATACATTAAGCCCACAATCAATTGCATGTTCAGAACTGTTCAAAGATGTATTTATGCCCATGTATGTAACAACAGAGCCAATACATTTTGAAACTAACCAAGAACCCTATGAAAATACTACTTGCCCTACAAAGGACACAGGTTACTCCCTCTTTTACTAATAGGACTCCTTCTAGTCTTCATCACTTACAGGTATCAGGGACACATATTTTGAATAATAAAAACCTACCTATTCCTGTCCATAAAACATAGATTCTGTTAGCTAGCTCCTGATAGGCACTGAATTTTGTAATTAAAAATGACTTTGTTAGATCTAATTCCTTAGATTCATGCCTAGTTTAGTAACAAAGTAATTATAATGAGAAAAACAGAATTATGAATATCAAAAAAGAATCAATAGGAAAGGAAACTTATTTTATGTGATGCCTGAAACTTTCTTGTTAAATAGGACTTCTTCATTAGTATTTCCATGGTTAGTATTTACAATAAAAAGGAAGATGGTTTTCCATCCAAAGTTCACTCTGCTATCATTGAGTAAATATTAACTTTGGTCTTCATGAAATTGGTAGCATATTCATTGGGGCTTATAGAAATGTTCAACAGATTAAAACAGTAGAAAAAACTACTAAAATCTCTCTTATGTATTAATATTAGGTAACTGTCAATGAAAATAGTAAAGGAAGCATTTCTCTTTTCAATTGGAAGTGCAGATAAATTTTTCCTTGGAAAAACAACTAGAAAGCTTAGTGTCTTTCATCTGCTTGGTAAAACTTTCACTATTACCTCTCCACAAAGGATTTGCTCTAGTTACTGTAGAGAGTTACTACATATGCTTCTCAGGGGACTAGGTTGTGTTAACTACTGGGTATTTCATTTTACTGATCAGGGAGTTGAGAGGAATTTACAAGATTGAGGGCAGAGTGGAATTTCTCTGTAGAATGTGATAAAAGACAAAATCAGATTGCCTGGGAGGGAACAGAGATGTGATCTGTGGCCATGCATGATTATGGGGATTATAGAGAAAATACGTGACTAAAGTACGTGTTCAGTGGGCTCACTCCAAGTACACAATTTAAATGTTCCTCCTATTTCTTCTGTAGAAATGTTAGTCAATGTTAGACTATACCACTCCTTAATTCTTAGGAGTATTTTTTTCTTCTAGTACTGGAGTTTGAACTCATGGTTCACACTTGCCTCAGCTTGTGTGACCACCTGGTACTCTAACCCTTGAGTCACATCTCTAGCTCAGATGTTTGCTAGTTAATTGGAGATGGATTCTCTCAGATTTTCTAC